GAGCTTCCTGTAAGGGTGTGGTCTTTGAATTCTCTGCAACCCCGAAAGAAATCCCTTTTCAAAGAAATGGCCTCAAGCCTTTATAAGATATGGCATTGTAAGCCCTGTGTTGGCTTCTCACACCTATAATCCTCGCTGCTCAGGAGCCTGAGATCTGAAGATTGAGGTTCAAAGCCAGCCTGTGAGTCTGTGAGACTCATCTTCAGTGAATCACTGGAAAACCGGAAGTGGGACAGGTCACACCAAATGGTAGAGCCCTAGCCCTGAGCAAAAAAGCCCAGGGACAGTGCCTAGGCTTCGAGTTCAAGCCCTAGGACCAGTACAGGAAAAAAAATATAGCAATGTGACTTTAAGGCTTTATTTATTTTTTGTCCAAATGTCACTGTGCAAGGCAGAAGTCAAGAGCTGAGAGAGATCGTTGCTCCCTTGGGTGGTAACTCATCCTCTGAAGCTTCTGCCTCTCCTTATTAAGGGGATTGTTTTCTTTAAATTTTATTTTAATCTTTCAGGAGTTGTACAGAAGGGCTTCAATTCACCATACAGTGCATCTCGATCAGTGTTCTCCTTCATCCCCTTCCAGAAGTTCTCAGCAAAGGACACAGGCCTGGATCTCCAGTCCTGATGGCTGGGAGTCTCCTTAGCCAAGTGACAGAGTAAAAAACCAACTTGATAGGGTACAGAATGGGGAAATTAGAATTGATATCTTTCAGCTCATTTAATAAACACTGATCTAGATTTTTTGAGGGGGGATAGAACAAAATACTGTTATCAAAAAGCAGAATATTGGGTTAACAAATGTCATCGTGGAAATCCTGAAAACAGCCAAGCTTTGGACAAGTCATTCCGTGTATCAAGTCTGAACATCTTAAAGAAAATGAAAGAAAGTCAGGGCTGGCCCTTTATGGCACTTTGTGCATTGTTTTTTAAAAAAGAAAAAGATGGAGTCCTGGCTGGGCCAGAGAAAGGCTAGGGGTAGGGATAGACCTACTGTGCCACCTGGGACCTGGGACCTGGGAAAATTATCTCACCTTTCTATAGGCAGTTTTGTGATCTGTCAAATGGGCTTGTGCTGAAAGTATGCTGTAACTATTATTTGAGATATTACTATGTCAATCTATAAAATGGTACTGTCATAAAATAAGGTCATGAATGAAGATGCCAATAAAAGATGTACGATGGGAGCCACAAACAACTACAGCTGTCACAGAAAGTGGTAAATAAATAGAGCCATAAATTCTGGTAAGGTGTATCTGACAGCACGAGTCGCTCCAATACCATAAATCATTTTTAAAAGCAATAAACCCAAAGTTAGAAAGTTCAAATCCGGCTACATAGACTGTATCTCAAGCAAACGAAAAAATTAAAATAAAGCAATGAAGTCTGTTGGGCCTTGACTGATGACAACTATTCAATTAATCCAAAATTCGACACTGGGTTTGGCTCTCAGGAAGAAAGTTCCAAAGAATTTTGGGTGAGATAAGACCTGATTTAAAACAAAAAAATTGTGCTGGCACTAGGGCTTGAACTCAGGGCCAAATGCTCTCACTTGGCTTTTTCTGCTCATGGCTGGTGCTCTACCATTTAAGCCAGATCTCCACTTCCAGCCTTTCCTGCTTAGTTGGAGATAAGAATCTCATAGCTTTTTTTTCTGCCCAGGCTGGCTTTGAACCATGAGTCTCATATCTCAGCCCTCTGAGTAACTAGGACTATAGCTAGGACTGCAGTACTCAGCTATGACTTCAAACTCTGTCCCCATGCCCTTGATGTGTCTGACTCTCCACCCCTTGAAGGGCAGTCACTCATCATAATGATGTCCCTTACTCGGGAGAGCTGTCCCACAGGAAGCTAATAGCCGGGTTGGCCCAAATAGTACCTCCACCCCATTTTCCCCTCCAACCCCCAATACCATCAAGACCTCCCCTTGCGTCTCTCCAGCACAGGGTGTACCTGCCTTTCCTACCCTCCCTCCATCCCTGCTAGCTTCCTCCCTCTGTGTAATAGCCAGAGTTCTTCACCCCCCTCCCCCAAACTGGCAGGAATGCCCACACTCACCCTGTCCACGCTGCCCTCACCCCTACAGCTGACCACACAGAGCAGCTACAGGACACTCTGCAGGGAACCTGTTGGTGAGCCACACACCCACTGAACACAGACCCTCTGGGTCTCTACCATCAGGACAATATGCAGATCCAAAGGGTTTCGCTCACTCATTTTCTGACAAAACACTTGTCATTCGGCCTCAAACAGGCGCTTGAAATGAGGCGCTCAAAACTTGAAATAGCATCCGCTAATGACAATGAAGGGTTTCCCATCACAGCCTCCGTGCCCTAGGAGCAAGGCTTTTGCCTTCAGGGGGGGAAATAACTGGCCGTGCACTGAGGTGCTCTTCGTAAGATATTCTCTGGGTGTTAAAAGTACTTTACCACATCTGCCCCGTCGACAGCCTTGAAAGGGTTTTTTTTTTGGGGGGGGAGAAGGGGAGTGATGTTGATATATACAAATACATATTTATATATAACATTAATAGTGTGTATATCTGTAAGTTAGAAAATGAATTCAAGTCATGAACCATGGGTCCTTCATGGGTTTTCCAATTTTAAGAAGATAAAGAAAATCTCCTGGCTCTTGCCTCTTTTGCACGAATGCCCCTCTTCCCCCCTCCACCCCAATTGCTGCCACACCCCCAGGAGCCCTGGAGGGGAGAGGGGACAGTGGACCCACATTTCCTTCATGATTCGTAATTCTCATCAAAATCAATACCATATAGGGAGAGGAAATGTGGCTGATAAGTTCTAGAGAGGAAAAGGATTGAAGAGCCAGGAAGGACTTAGGGACAAGAAATAATACCTATAAGACCTGGGAAGTCCTTTAAGTTAGAGGTTTTGAGCCAGGCTGATGCATGCATTTGGACTAAAGGGTGTACAGTTGTTTGGCTGACAAGTGTCAACTGAAAAGCATTGTTTTAACAAAGTAAAGTGACACCCAAAACCTGACAAACGTCCTAGGGAAAACAGGAAGATCCTGTTCACTCTGGGACAAGGTACAACAGCAGGGGCCACTGCTCCCTAGCGCCCCCAGTGACCACGTGGTGAATGACTCCTATCAGACCCCTCCTACCCTAACCCGCCTTCCCCACGCAGGAGGGCAGTATATGATTTCTCTTCCCAGACCCTTAAAAAAACATTTAATGACACCCCCCCACACACCCAAACCAGGCCTACTTGCTTTGCAAATGACAAAAACAAAACCCGAAGATAGAATTTACTTGGTTCAGTTCATAGAATGTCTCCTCTATACCCAAGTGTTTTTGGACTTGTCTTAGAACAGAATATTGATTCTGCTGAACAACCTCTAATGCTAGAATTGATGGGAATTTGACTCCTGGGAATTTAGGATTAGTCACTGTTATCTTGCTCCAGTAGTGATTTGTCAGTTCTCCCACCAGCCAGGCCCCAAGCTCAGCGCATGCCCTCCGCATCTTGATAATGATTCTGGAATGGGATGTGCCTTATTATTGCATTTAACAGCACGAAAGTTGAGGCTCAGGACTGGAGCACACATGTATGGCTGAGTTGCACTTGATCATGGGCCCATCTGATACCAGAGCCCATATATTTATTGTATGTCTTGTTACCTCATACATACCCAATCATCTAGGCTGGGGAGATGCCTCAAGTAGTAGAATAGCTACCTAGTAAGTAACAGACAGGTTCTGAGTTCAAATCCCAGGCCCTGACCGTGCCCCCAAAGAAAGCATTTAAAGGGATGACATTGATCAAGATGTACTGTATTCATAAACTGCATTAGTGAATGGTAACTCCTTTGTATAACTTCATATATATATATATATATATATATATATATATATATATATATATATATGGGCCACAGCTCCACTTCCGGCTTTTTTCTTTTTGCTTATGTGGTGCTGAGGAATCGAACCCAGGGCCTCAGGCATGCAAGGCGCAAGCGCTCTACCACTGAGCCACCTTCCCAGCCCTATATATAGCCTTTATATTATATTATATATGCACATACATATATAATAGCATTTATCAAATACCTACCATTTCCACCAATCAACACATCATCTTCCCCAATTAGACAACAAATCATTGGGCCCTCAGCGCAGCTAAAAGTTAGGATATCACGAAATATGTCAGAAAGTGGTTGCACCTGTCTTCCTGGGCTTGCCACTGGTTTTGTGGGTCACAGCTGACTCCAGTCCCCTGGAAGTGCCCAGTACATTGGTCATTCCAGTATACAAAGAGTAGTTGCTCACTGCTACTTTGAGTTATTCCTCAATAGCTTCTACTTTTCAGATTTAGGTCAAGTTTTTACTCAACTCACCTCTTGGGAGAATGTACCTCATACCCCTCCACAGGTTCTAGAAAACTCTTTTGTCTTCGGCATGTTACTTCTTTCCTCTCCTGGTTTTGTCACCGATGAGGAGAGGTCCATTAGAGTACAAGACATTGCTAGTTCGTGGTTCTGATTTGTTTCAAACAAAATCAGTTGTGTTTATGTTTGTTTCCTTCAAAGTATATTAGGCAGCAAATTCTACTCTAAGTGGTTAAAACATACAATAGTAAGAGGCCAGGGATGGTGGCTCATGCCTGGAAACCCAGCTAGTCAAGAGACAGAGATCAGGAGGATCTTGATTCAAAGACAGATCTCAGCAAAAATTTACTGAGAAACCTTATCAAAAAATACACCGGATATGGGGGTACACCCTCATGATCCAGCTACTTGGGAAGCTGCCAGGCTGGGCAAAAATGGAAAACCTTGTTTAAGAAATAAAATTAAAACAGTTGGTTGGAGGCATGGCTCAAGGGGTAGGGCACCTGCCTAGCAAGCTAGGTTCACTCCCGAGTTCAATCCCAAGTACTACCGAGAGAAAAAGAAAAGCACAAAAAGAGCATATGTGCTATATACTTGGCCACCAAACCAGGCAGTTGTCTGACAAGTATCAATATTTAGTAAATACTTGTAATACTTACAACCCATATCATGACGAGTCTTCTGGATAAATAAGGATCAATATTCCACTGAGTGAATGGAAGGAACGTGATGTAGAACTCTTCTTGTCCCAAAGTGGCTGAAAATCGGAACAGGTAATAGTAGAAATAATTCTTCACAATGTACTTCTGTACATAAGCCTGAAAGACAAATGTTAGCCAAGTCTGTGAGTTCATTCTGCATCACATTACAGGGCAAGCGTGTCCTAGTTCCTAAGGCTTGTGGCTATATTACTTTATGGGACAAAGGGGACTTTGTAGATGTAACTTAGCTAGACAACCTTGGGATGGAGCGGCTGAGCTAGATCGCTGGTGTCAGCTCAGTGTAATCACCGGGATCCCTATAAGATGGAAGAAGGCAGGTATGTCAGAGCCAGAGCAACTGAAGACGCAGCCCTGCGGACATTCAGGATGGGAGGCTGGGCAGGAATCAAGGCATGCAGGTGACTTCTTTTTTTGGGGGGGTCCGGTAGTGGGGCCTGAACTCTGGGCCTGGGCGCTGTCCCTCAACTCTTCAGCTCAAGGCTAGCGCTCTACCACTTGAGCCACAGCGCCACCTCTGGCTTTTTTTCTTTTAGCTAAGGAATCCAACTGAGCCACCTTCCCAGCCCCATGCAGGTGACTTCTAAAGGCTCAACAAAGCAAGGAAACAGATTTTTGAGTTAACACAGGAATATAGCCCAAACACCTCGTTTTTAGCCAAGAATATCCTCAGAGCTTCGGAGAATGTTTCTGTGATTTTTAGCCGTGAGATTGTGATACTTTATTTGAGCAGCAATTGGCCACTAAAACAAAGGCTTTAGAATCTCACTTATATCTGAACTTCAGTTTACCTTTTATTCTATTTTGGTGGTATTGGGGTTTTTGAATTCAGCACCTCACATTTGCTAGGCAAATGCTGTACAATTTGAGCCATGCCCTAGGTCTTTAAGCTTTATTTTTCGTTTTTCAGGCAGGGTCTTGAGCTTTTGCCTGGGCTGGGCTCAACTGTGATCCTTCCTTCTCCACCTGTGAAACAGACAGAATCATACCCCACCTCTATTGAGGCCGAGTCTTCATTACTAAAGTTAGCCTCAAACCTCGATCCTCCAAGTTTCTGTCTCCTTAGTAGCTGGGATTGCAGGTGTGTTATACCAAGCTTGGCCCTAATTAATCTTTTTAAATTAGACCAATAAGATAAACTCCGTGATCGTGTGAGACGTTAGGTGAATTTAAAGTAAGTATAGCTGGGCATTGTTAAAATAGACTCTCTTTTTCTATTGTCTTTTTTTTTTTTCTTTTGGTCAGTTGTGGGGCTTGAACTCTGGCATGGGCGCTGTCCCTCAGCTCTTCAGATCAAGTCTAGTGCTCTACCACTTGTGCCACAGCGCCACTTCTGGTTTTCTGAGTGGTTTATTGGGGATAAGAGTCTCACAGACTTTCCTGCCCAGGCTGGCTTTGAACTGCGATCCTCAGATCTCAGCCTCCTGAGTAGCTAGGATTACAGGTGTGAGCCACCAGCACCGGGCACTATTGTCTTTTACCTTCTTATTATTCTGATAATGGGCAGGGGGTAGGAAGAAAGACTCAAGAGAGTTAAAACTGGACTAAGTAGACAATCTAAAATAATGGTAAACACCATACATTATTGTATATTAAATAGTCACAAACCCAAACTATTGTTTCTCTAGTAAATGAAAAGTAGTTTTCTATTTTGAGACAGGGTCTTCCTATGTAGACCAATCTGGCCTCAAACTCTTGGGGATTTACAGGCATGAACTACCACATCTGATTTATAAAAGGAATTTTAATGCTACTGAAGGTAGTCGTGGGTAGTCACAAACTATAAAAATAAAGTGCCAGTACTGGCAGAGAGGGAAAGAGATAGCATGCTTGCAGGACCACCTTGATTTCACTCTTGTAGTTGTGGATTTTTGAAGTCTGTGGTCTTTTAAGTCTGAGAGCATTCAGGAAATGCTACACTTATTTATAATGCCCAATTCATCTCATGCCTAAGGCCTATCATTTATGCTGGGTGGTAAGAAGATTCAGAAGAGTCGGGAAAAATAGAAGCTCTTACCTGGTAAGTAGCATCTGAGGATATAATTTGGGGAAAGTGTGTGTGTGTGTGTGTGTGTGTGTGTGTGTCTGTGTGTGTGTGTGTGTGTGTGCACGCGCGCGCGTGTGTTAGTCTTGGGCTCTGTCCCTCAGCTCATTTTCCCAAAGCTAGCACTCTACCAGTTGAGCCACAGCTTCATTTCTGGCATTTTGGTGGTTAGCTGGAGATGAGTCTCATAGAATTTACTGCCTGGGCTGGCTTCAAACCATGATCCTCAGATCTCAGCCTCCTGAGTAGCTAGGATCACAGGCATGAGTCACTGGCACCAGGTCTTTTTACCCTTTTTATAAAAAGGTAAGTTAACTTTATTTATGTGCAAATCTGTTCTGCTTTATAGGTTTAAAATTTTGCCAACTTCTAACAAGGGTCAGACCCTGCCCTCGTGTCATTCTGTGGTACCCAAGTATCATATGTCATTATAAATATTCAGTGGCAATAATTTCTCTACTCTAGAAATTTACCTGTGTCAAAGTTCAACTTCTTCATCCTGGTAAAAACAGCCAACTTTGTTGGGGGTTGCATATTACTAAATATGCTTACATATGCTTTTTACAATCACTCAGAAATTCTCTTTTTTATAGAATTAAGTGGTTTGATTTTGTGTCATACTAGGACTTGAACTCAGGGCTGGAGCATTCTCCTTTTTCTAGTCAAGGCTAGCACTCTAGTACTTGAGCTATAGCTCCACTTCCAGCTGATTAATTGGAGAAAAGAATCTCACAGACTTGTCTGCTTGGGATGTCTTTGAACCTTGGTCTTCAGATCTCAACCTCCTGAGTAGTAGGATTACCAGTGTGAACCACCAGCACTTGGCTAGAATGAACTATTTTTTTTCCAATTTAGTTCAACAGTCCTTTTATAATGATAATTATTCTGTATTCAGAATCATGAGGGGGCAAAGTACAAGGGTGAGCTAGAATGATACAAATCCAAAAATCACATTGTTCTTATTTTTTCTAGAATGAAGTAGTTTTAAAAGTTAAATATTCTAGAGCATAAGAAAAACCAAGAGTAAAATTTGAAATCTCAGCATAGATATAGAATACCCGAAGGATTTCTTAGATAATTTCTCTATATGTGATATAAATAGCCAGAGAATCCATATTAACTACCAACTATTTGGGGGTTGCAGGTAGCCAAGCAAAGTTGTCCATACGTGACTTCTCAAAAAAAAAAAAGAATCTGAATGTGTTTCGCCTGTAGGAAATTTCAGTGTGTAAGATGTCAATATAGCTTAGGGAAGAGCAAAGATTTCATGTCTGGGAACATTAGAAAGAGAAGAAATGGGATTAGAAATAGAAATAGTGGGTAACGTGGGAAGGCAGCAAGGTGAAGGGTAACAGCAGAGGGAGGGAAGGCCCCGGACTACTTCTGCATTCTTCTCTGACTACACCCAAGGGGCTGGAGGCCCAGGTTCTGGGGGCCGTGTATCAGGGGACATGCTTGGGAGACAAGGACCTACCACTCATCTTTTGAGTAAAGGAGAAGGAAAGCATTCAACCTAGAGGTTGAATATTCAGGGGAGTTTCCCTGGGATCATTGTACAGATGTAGACAGTATACTTTGAACAAGTTCACCCCATCTAATGTATTCTCTCAGACCCCTCCCTGGCCCTCCTTTTCAAACAGTATTTGATTGGTTTCCTATGCTATTATATACACATACACACATCCACGTATACATGCATATATACCTATATGCAAAGTACATAGATACACATGTATGTGTATAATACGTGTGTATGTACACACACATATATATCCATATATTATATACCTCCATCTTCCTCCGACTCCTTTCCCCTCTCTCTTCTCCTGGATCTAAGACAGTTTCCCCTCCCTACACATGGGAAAGCCACCCTTACAATGTTCCAAGGGTCATCTTTTGTTTATGTCTTTCATGCTGTAATTCCCTTTCCCTACCCATGTACTTTCAAAGATTTGCTCTACGATTTTCTTCTATTAAGAAAAAAAGAGCCAGGCACGGGTGGCGCACACCTATGTATAATTTTTGCTTCTTGGAAGGCTCAGATCCAGAGGATCAAAGTTTGAAGTCATTCCAGGCAGAAAAGACTCTGAAAGATTCCATCTTTAAAATAACCATGTCCTTCCATTTTAGGTGAAATTACTGAGGCCCAGACAAAGGTTGCATGTTTTCTATCATGTGTGGAAGCTAGAATTAGTTTATGGTGGCATGCAAGTGTAGTAACTGAAATACAGTCGATTCCATTGCTCACAAAAAAAACATACTCGTTACCTGACTTATGTAACTATAACTCTTTTGTACATCACTTTTATGATAACAATAAAAAAAGATTAAATTCAATTTTACAAAAGGAAGTAGGGGTAGCTTCAGGGGAGAGCTCAAACAGTGTAATTCCTTAGGCAAAATTAGAGTTCAGCAAAAACCACCAGGAGACTGATACTTGAAAGGGGTAGGATGGATCAAGAGGAAAGGGACAAAGGAAGTAAAAAAGCAGAGGGGGAGAGGTGGAGAGAATACAGTCAAAATTCAGTACATGCCCTACAAAATTAGGGGGAAAGTAAGGGATGGCGCGGGTAGGGGAAGGATGTGTGAGAATACTGAAAGGGAAACATTTAGATGCATTGTATTCATAAACGGCTTGTTGAAGGACAACTCCTGTGTACAACCACTTAGAGATAATTAAAAAATTATTTTTTAAAAAATAAATAAGACCTAAGTACTCCCTGCCTGAAAATAAATAGAATAACCAGCAAAAATCTGAGCTGGAGGCGTGGTCCAAGTGATAGGGCACCAGCAGAACAAACAAGCTGGGCAAGCTTGGAGTTCAAATAACTAAATACATACATGAAACGCTTCCTGGTATTCATATTTTCTAACACATAATGACATTCATCTGCCATGAATGAGATGTCTGATCAGCAAGGGATGGAATTGAAATTGTCCACCTAGCCATTATTCCTGCCTGCGAAATCTCATTGATATGCTCATTCGTGTATCTGTTTATTGGTTTATGTTCCTGGAAGTTTCTGAAGAAGTGTTTCATAGGATGGCTTGTGATCGTGTCTTCTCCATGTGGACATCCGTTCTCTAAATGTCTGTTCTTCTAAACAAGCCTTTCACAGCCTTCGCCAGCAGCTGGAGCAGTGCTAACCTGGTCTGCAGGTAGCAGCATGTTCAGAGTCGCTACAACTGGCAGCTTGCAATGTGCGAAACATCAGAACAACCAGGGACCCATCGGGTGCTTGGAGGACAACGACTTCTTGACTCAGCTCTGCCAGGAACACCTGAGCAGTGGCTTCTTTTCTAAACACACTCGAAGAAGCCCTAGGTACCAAGGAAATGTGCCTTGGTCAGCACCACTGGAGATAAGAAGAGCCAAGCCAGACAGCGCACACACCTGGCAGGCTGCCCAGCCTCTCAGCTCCCAAAGGAGGAATACAAGAAATAGCTTTTAGCCAAAACAGTGTGTGACCTTGGGGAGGTGGATTTGCCTTTCTGGACCTCAAAAGCTTCAATGTGCAAAGCTTGCAGAGGATGGAGTAGGATTATTTTCTGAGAGTGCTCTATCACTGAGCTATAGTCCCAACCTCCATTCCTTTGTTTATTGTTGTTGTTGTTTTGAGATTGGGGTTCATACTATATACCCAGGCTGGCCTTGAACTGGTGATCATCCTCTTGCCTCAACTTTCTCAGGACTGAGATGACAAGGATGAAACACCAGGCGTGGCTGGCTGCTTTTTAAATGGGGAAAAGCGGGGAGGGGAGCAGGAAAAAGCTCCTGTTATATATTCATATAAGCCTGAAAGTCCGCCCTAATTAATTGAAAGGGAGGAAGGCCTTCCCCGTTACCCACAGGAAGGGCATGGGGTGTACAGCCCAGTGATCAGTCTGAAAACAACTGATCTTAATCTCTACAGGACTCAGATATCACCTTCCTGTAATTAACCTTTGACCTTGAGGACTAAAGCTAGAGTTATACAACCTTGACATTGTTCAGCGACTTGACAAATGCTGGACCAAAGTCAAGAGGAGCTCATGTTACTTCTCTTTGGTTGTGTTGTTCACTGTAGAGCTACAAATGTTAAATTGGCTTCCAAAGGTCAAGTTCAAGATACTCCACTACCTTCACCAAGCAGGAAGGAGGATGGTGATGTCTACTCTAGGCAGTCCACTTTAATGAAAGGTGGAAATGATGAAATCGAAGGCCGCAAGAGATGAAATTGACTCAGACTTATTAAAAAGTGTCATGAAGCCCAAAGACCTGTGACAGAAAACACCACCTGCAGTGAATCCTTCACAATGTTTGTCAAAGGACAAAGTTACAAAGTAAAGGTCTTAATTGGCTTTACATTATCCATATTTTTTTATTCTAAGATCAGGCAAGGCTTTGTTCCATCAAATAGAATGAGTGTTGGGACTGGCAGGGTAGAAGAGGCTCAGAAAAGCAGACACAGCATCCAAAAGTGGATTGGTCATTCCCAAGTTACTTTCCTTGTACAGCTGAGGCAGGAAGACAGCACTAGCAGACCCACTGCTTAGTTAACACAAAGTGTGTCCTTCTAGTTAGCGTGTACTTCCAGATTACAGTGTTTTGCATGAGGACAGAGGGAAATTCATTACCATGCCAGTTGAAACTTGTCTGTTTGAGAAATGTCACTGGTCCCTCTGATTTCTCAGAACACCAGATACATAGAACAGTTTCAGTGGCTCCTTAGGGTAAGTGATTTCCTGTTTATTTTTAGTCTTGTCTATTGGAGGTTACAGCAGGAGCCTTATCCAAAGCAATGGCATCCTGTTCCTTTTATTTTACAGGTTAGCTTTAGAGGAGTTTATTTTCCTCAGATGAGTGGGAGGGAACCGAATGGATACAGAGTGGTCTGACCAGGAGAAAAGAGCAGAGTCCCAGGGGAAGGCAGACCCCAGACCCAGGTGGGTAGGCACAGAGTACGGGAAGTCAAGTATCTCAGACCGAAGCTGAGCTGTCCTACTTCTTATTACTGAAAAGATTTCACACTCATTACAGGAGGTCCCTGAGCCCCCATTTCTCCACCAAATGGGAACAGTAACAGTATATACATATTGGGGTGGAGGAGGGAGTGTTGAGTGAGAGATAGTGCCCGAGGTGTGTGCCAGGAACTCAACACTGAAGCCTGGCAAAGAAATTCCTGCATAACCTAGCCAATGATGATGATGATGATGGTGGTGGTGGTGGTGGTGGTGGTAGTCATGAAGATGATGATGAAGGAGGATGGATATGATGATGGTGATGGTCATGAAGATGATCATGGTAATAGTGGAAACGATGATGGCGGTAGCACTGAGAAACTCTGAAAAGTGCTTCCCACTGCCAGTGTGTTCTGATTCACCTGAGGATCTTGCTATAAAGTATAGATTTTTATGCTGTGGGCCCAGGGTAACTGTACTAAATAATTCTAAGGACCTCCCATATCCCACGCACTGCCCCACTGATGGCCCATGGCCTCACTTTGAGTAGTGAGGAATGTTTAAAAAACAAAATAAAAAGGTAAATAGCTCTCCAATTTCATCCTCCGTGTTAGAAGAAGGCCTGGCTAGGATTAAAGCAATAAGATACGACGCCCAAAGCAACAGAAAAACTGCTGGTGACAAACCAGAGTTGGTCTATAAGGTTGGGCAGGGACCTCCAGCCCCAAGGAACTGAGCATGGATCACAGAAGGTATCAAAGGGATGAGGGTAAACAATGTATGCCCAACTCAAGTAGTCTGATCAAATGCTTCCCTAATTAGCAGGAAAACGTAAGCCATCCTGGAGCTCCTGGCCTTGATTTGGGAGAGGTTTACATTCGTTGCTGGATGACAGATGCAAAATGAGTGAAGAAGCAGTCAAGAAGTTTGCAAAGCATTCCTACCCTCTTAGGACATGGTGAGACAGAAAAACAAACCTCATTTCCCTAAAAAGAAAACGGGGCATGTGTGTGTGGGGGGGCGGTGCTTTTGTGGAAGACTGGCTCAGAAACGATGCTCTTGGACCTCTGCTGGAGAAAACATCTGTCATTATGGTCTCTGCCACATTGAGGGCCGTGCTTACTTTTACATTTATAAAGGGAGAATGAAACCTAAGAGAAGAGTTTCACATGAAGGCCAAGGATCCTGGAAATTCTGCACTTGATGAAACCCAGCTTGGCTGGGAAATTCAAATGCCATTTTTAGATACATGTAATGATAGGCAATATACTTTCAACCTAAGCCTCTGCCCGGAAAACCCTCATTCCCACCACCAGCTCCCCATGTTCATCTGCAGACACATGCTGGCTCAAGAGCTCTTGAAACGGGGGGAATCTTCAGGTGTTTTGCATTGTGGGAGAAGACAGGTATTTGGAATTGATTGATACCCTAGGGACATGGACTTCTTGGCAAAGAACAGAGCGGTGTCCCCAAAGAGAGGAGACTAAGGACAAAAACATTACTTTGATGGATCGAATGACTCTCATAGCCTGTATGTCTTTAGCTAGAATTTCTCATCTATAACCTAGAGATCAGGAAGAGCCTATCTGAGGGATCTGATCTCTCTTCTAACAGAAGATACACTTTATAACTCTTTGGTAACCCAACCTCCTTCTGAGAGGGCTTGGCTTTCCTAGCATGCCCTTAGTCACCACAGAGATGGAGTATTTGGGAAACAAGCCTTCTCTCTAAGCTATTACAAGAAACCATGGTAAAATGCTAGGTGCAAAGCCAATAGTGCCCATCATTTCAAAGGATGAAATGGCAACCCTTTTCCGAACAGAGGCTGTGTCTGCACACATCATTCACTCCCTAAACTTTAGTGATGAAAGCTGTACAATACACAATACATGCATCATTGTATTTAGTCCTATGAGAAGAGTGAGGCTGGTTGATAGGTTTTTGTGTCTAGCTCCAAAGAGGAGCTAGCTTGTGAGTTGAGGCCTGGATAGGAGGAGGAGCTGACCCTGCTAGCTTCTCAGGTCAGAGACAGAACTCTTAGCAGAAGGTCCCCCAGGCAGGAAGCAGCTCTGGGCTGGGCCATGGAAGGCATGAAAGGGAAGGACAGAGATAAAGTTCGGTGCAGGAGCTCCACCAAGCCACGCCCGAAGATGGAGGCAGGGCAGTACATGAACTCACTGCAGGAGTGCTGGTGGCGCACACCTGTAATCCTAGCTATTGAGATCTGAGAATTCCAGGTTCAGATCTGAGGCTAACATTTCAAAGCCAGTCCAGGCAGGAAAGATTTTGTGACTCATCTCCAATTAGCCACCCAAAAACTAGAAATGGAGCTGTGGATGAAATGATAGAGGACCAGCAAAGGAGCAATGTCCAGACCCCAATAATAGCGCGTGCGCGCACACACACACACACACACACACACACACACACACAGTATGACTGACTCAACTTTGATGAGATAAAAGCAAATTTTGGTTCAGAAGAAGTAGAATCAACTCCTGCTTTAATTCTTTTTTTTTTTTTTTTACTCAAAGCTGGCACATTCCCACTTGAGCTACATTTCCAAGTTTTTTGCTGGTTGAGTGAAGGTAAGAGTCTTTCACATATATCAGCCTGGATTGGCTTTTAGCCTACATCTTCAGATCTCAGTCTCGTGAGTAGCTTAGGATAAAAGATATGAACTACCATTACCTAGATTTTACTTTATTTTTAATATTTGATGGTAAGGACTGAGGATATACTTCAGTGGTATGTAGCATTTTAAGCATGAAACCTGAGTTTAAGCTCTAGGATTAGAAAAAGTAAACAAATTAAAAAATAATACATTTAATGGAGAAATAGCATTAGCCATTCTGGACTTAAAAGCCATTGGGAAGGCAGGTGGGGGTGGGGGAGGCTGGCGGCTCATGCCTGTAATCCTATCTGCTCAGGAGGCTGAGATGTGAGGATCAGAGTTTGAAGCTATCCTGGGCAGGCAAAGTCTGTGGGGACTCTCTCTCTCTCTCTTTTTTTTTTGGTCCAGTCGTGGGGCCTGAACTCTGGGCGTGGGTGCTGTCCCTCAGCTCTTCAGCTCAAGGCTAGCACTCTACCACTTGAGCCACAGCGCCACCTCCGGCTTTTTTTCTTTTTGCTTATGTGGTGCTGAGGAATCGAACCCAGGGCCTCATGTATGCAAGGCAAGCGCTCTACCACTGAGCCACCTTCTCAGCCCAAGTGTGGGACTCTCTT